AAAAAAGAGAGATTAAATCGGTTACTATATGTGTATTGAATAGCATTTTCAAATGGCCACGTCAATCCATAGGGTCTGATCAGGTAAATTTAGTACGAGTAGCAGTGTCGTGTTGATTTTGATTTCAGGGTAAGCGGTCTCTACTGGAGTTGTTAACCAACCAGCTGACCTCCTACAATTATCAGCTTGGGTCTGAAATTACTTGGGACCTAAGGAGTTACTGTGAGTTGGGCCAACGAGAGTCAGCTGACATTGGTTTGAGTCCACAGATTCCCATCAGTGTTGTCCCTAATGAAAGGCTTGCTTGGAACATAGGTAATGTATTGTCTTTTGGTGAGGGTGCACATGCGCATATTTTGGGCCAAATATATATTCGGGTTGGTTGTCGTGATAGGCCAATATAGTGACGTGTGGTCTTTGTCATTAAGTGGATCTTCGCCCTGCCAGAACCTCAACTATTACCACGTTTTTGAGACGGTAAATGTGTCTGCGCGATTATGGCAGGTTTAATGATGAAACCTAATTTCTCTACTCTTCTGGGTTGACAAATATTGGGAACCGCACCTTCCCCAGCTGTGTAACTAGGATTGTATGCTTTTGATATTTGTGGTGTACAACATCTTCTGTGTGGGTGGGGAGAATGTCTCTGCACAAAAGACAGTGGAAATTTGTATGTGAGGATCTACCCATTGGCAAACGGTCACTGAGGATCCATGTTCGCGTACATTCATTCATTCATACATGTTTGACCAGTTTGTGGTGTGGGCATAATCGGAACCGATGACCTACAGAGAGGTCAGAGAGTTTACGGCTTGTTTATATTGGTTTATTAATGGGCTCAACTGTGGGTATTAACCACCAAAATAGTTTATGGTGCCTTTGAGTGACTGACCCTATAGTTTTTGTTAACTCTTCCTGTATGCCTGATTAATGGTTTTGTTTCCTAATCTATTGGTATCTCAGCCTGTATCGTTTCCCATGTATGTCGTCTTTACGGTAGCTATAACTTAACCGCATTGACAGAAGGAAGTCCCCAGATTGAAAAGTGTTCCGACTAACGGCTGCTGCTTGTTAGAAGTCCGGCAATGAAACGTTTAGGTCTGCGACTAAACCACTTTAACTCTGACTGAGTGACAAGTGAATTCTCTGCAACTGCTGCAACAATGTGAGTGTGTCATGCCTCAGCGGTTTAGACATACTTCCCTGGTCCATCTTTTGGCCCTGCCCAAATAGGTGAGTAGGGATGTGGTTGGTACAATGCCCTCCGACATACCTCCCGGGGATCATCCCCGGACAAGACACCCTTCTGTGTGTGGCAGAACGGCAATGATGGAATTCCAAGAGTCCGGCCGTTTTTTTTCCTTAAGGACAGATTCCGAGTCTCTGTCCAAATTCGACTACTTCTGGGAGGAACCGCGATACTACCGATACCGAGGGTCCAGGAGGGTAAGCAGCCACGTCCATCCCCTGATGAGGAAGAACGCACATGATTAGGGACACCATTAAATATACTGTACATTAATAGAACAAGGGGCAAGGTGTTAGGTTAACCCCCCACTTTGAATCAAATGTTTTGAATGATACGTAGCGACAGTAACTTTGAAATGAATGAAACAGTTTAATATCATATAAGGTAAAAAAAAATTTATTTTATTTTACAAGTCTGGGGATTCTCCAAAATTGGGTCTTTTCTGAAATGACACCCACAACAGTGAATTTTATTGACGAAAAATTTAAAAAACAAAAACACGTTCGTGATTTGGCACTTTAGGGTGCTTTTAAGGGTTTTATATCCCTTAATTTTATTACCTACAGAGACCGTTGGCGTCTCCGTCGAGTTTCCACGATGAGTTTTGTATGGCTTAATCTGGTTGCGATGGAAAACCATTTAAGCCACTGGACTCCTTTCTTGCCTTTGCTGACCCTTGATTATGGGACACAACGGCCGAAGAGTTTTCCGGTGATTATGTAATCGGACCTGCCCAGTGCGGTAGAAGCTTGCGGGCCAAGTTTTCCAGCGCTCTGGTTGGTTTTTCTCCGTCAGGGGAGCCAAGATGTAGTACCACGACCTTGTCCCCCAACTTTGGAGTTCGTCATGGGACGCCTTTTGGTCCATAGTAGGCCTTGCGTCCTTCTGCGCTTTTTATCCAAGTGTTTCCTGGGCAAAGCGAAGTGGGCTCTGAGGTGTTCGCTCCCCCAGATCCGCCATAAATACTGGTGTGTTGTATATGCCGTGGCGATGTTAGCCTCGCCCTGGCTTGTAAGAGCAGTATGTATGCGGGGAGCATCATCTGTCCCCCTGTCATTCCATCTAAACCGAGAGAATCCCGTTGACTTTTGTGTGAGGTGGCTCTGATAGCCATCCCAAACGAACTAAACGGTAGCCTTAACGTCCCAGTCTTTTTGATTTGGACGGCTACATACTTTTTTAGTATTGCTGATCACTGTTCGGTTTTGCTCCGTTCTACTTGAACCAGAAAGGACTGTGGTGGTAGCTGATGTGGGAGGTCAGCTTTCACACCCTAGTAGGTTGCATAGTTTGCTTCATGACCTCAGAGGTGAAGTTGTGTCCCTCTGTCTGAATCAATGCGGCTTGGCATGACCGAACAGTGAGAAAGATGTGGTTCATTAGTAAGTATGGCGGTTTGTTTGGGCCAGTGTTCATTTAGGAGGCTGCAGGCCTTCTCACCCACCATTGGTGAATGCACAAATGACGGTGAAGCCGAAGTATTTGTTACATTCTGGTTGACCCTTGGCTAGAGTCCAACCCAGTCAATTTGGAGATTGACCAAGGGAAAGGAAATGCCATCTTCGTTTGTAAGAGGGAGCTCTGTGAAGCGGGCTTTTGACGGTTGGAACTGGCAACAGAACTAGACAGCCTTTGATTTAGTCTGCTATCTTTTTCTTGCATTGTGTGGCCAAATAGTGCATACTTGTTGGAGTGCCTGGTGTGTTGTTTCTTGACACAGTCCTGCGAGCCTATCTGACGGAGAAGCCATGGCTAGTGGTTCTTCCTGCATTTAGCGACAATTCACCCCCGCTCTGAGCGTCTGAGGCACCCAATGGCTCTCCGAAAGGGGGGGGGGGGGGGGGGGGGGGGGCAGGTGAAGTGAAGCATCGGAGACATGCTACAAGATAGACCCTGTTGACAATGCGTAGGGAAGGACGTGCTATTATATAAGGCCTCCAAACCTGGAACTAGAGTCCAGATCCAGCCAGGCGTTGCGGGGCTGTTAGAAGGATCCGACAGGAGAGGGAGAACAAGGCGGATGGCCGGATCAAGAGCCTGCAGTGTCTTCAAGTATCAGAGTCGGTGAAACTGGGTGACACCGAAACAGCCGCCTTGTCAGAGGACTGTCCAGGAGAGGCTGTCCGCTGCCTGAGCTCGAGTGACAACATGAATCACAGGGGTGGGAGGGCTGGGAAAAGATTCAGCACCCTGCGATGAGTCAAGTGACAAGGTGTTAACGTTTTGTGTGACCATTTCTTTGCGATTAGCAAGGTCAATGCGACAGGTGTGTCGCTAGTGAGTCTTAAGGATGGGAATAGGGCGATAGCCCTTGAAGGTTTAGTGTACACAACACCTCCATCCAAGTGGTCATGGAGCAAAGTGGGAGGTATAGGCCCTATCATTGGGATTCTCAGCTCGAAGTCATGAAACTTGGTGCTGATCATCCACCCAAAAGGAGTGGATTTTGGAATCAGTATCTCTTCTGTGGTGGTGTTATGCACCAGCAGGTGGGTTGACCTGGAGCGCAGACTCAGCAAGGTGTTGCTTCAAGAGATAGTCCTAATTTGCAGAACAAAGGAGAAGGTTGGAAGAAGCCTTGTGAATGGCCGAGATGTTGGCCGGATTTTACGTTCAAGGTTATGGCGACGTTTTTGGTTTTGGCCGGCACAACCATGTGATGTTCGTTTATGACTTGGCAAGCTTCCGGGATAGTTTGTCCTGACTTCATGTTCTCAGGGCTGTAAGTGATGTCGTCATTTTGGCCCTTTACCAGTGACCATAAGACGTTATTGATCATGTCCACCTGGACGTCTAATCTTGCGAGCACATCGCCGCCTATGTAGACTTGGTGTGGCAGATCAGGAATGACCAGAAAGAGATGAGTCAAGTTCCTCTGGTTCCATTGCACCTTTAAAGCGCAGACCCCCTCTGCAGTCCATGTTGACTGGGGTACGGGGTCTGAAGGAAAACGGAAAGGTTTCTGCACAAAGTGAATGTTTGGATCTTTCTGTGACAATGACTCATACAGTTCTCGGCTGATTGCCGATTTGTCGGCCCAGAGGGCCAAGACCACATCATCAAAGTGAGTGTCCTCAAGTTTAATGCCGCTTGTGACCTGTGGGCAGGACTCGTGTCCTTTCAGGTTTGTCAAGGAACATAAGAAGTTGTCTCGTTGAGTCAAAGCTTCCATTCGCGGCCATTTTAGTGTTGACTGATTGTCTTCCTTTGTATCTGACTCTCTGTCCACACCTGCTGGTAGTGGTTGCCGGTAGGGCATCAGATGTTAAGACCTTTGCCTCAAGGTTGTAGCATTGAGCTTCGGTGATTTGAGGGAACTCAATGGGAAGAGGTTCTCGGACCTGTGCCAGATCTTCAAGCGTTTGAAGTCAATGAGTGGTTCGAATTCGTGGTTGGATTGCGATTGGTGGTATGGTGGTTTTTGTCGTATTCTTACCGAATAGATGAAGGAGGGGATTGAATTTCTATATTAGTGGGTATTTTGAACACTGTATCTATGGGGGTGGACGAGGCTCATTGATCCAATAGTGAAATGGATCACTGCCCTGGTTGTCAAGGTAGTAGCCGTAGGCGAGTATGGTTGGACTTCAAGTGAGCACTGTTGCAGCTTCAAGCTCCTGTTGGATTGATGTGCCAGTGTTCGTAGTTTGTTGAAAAGTCCTGGAGACATCAGGGTCACATCTGCACCTGTGTCAAGGAGTGCTTCATGTTCAAGCTCATTTTCAAGTGTGGTTGAAAGGTAGAACTTTCGTGCAACCCCCTTTGCTTTAAGATCACCTAGGAACTGTTGAAAAGGCGGCTCACCCTGAAAGGTTAGCGGACCTTCCTTGGGAGGAATCCCAGTGGAGTCTAGCTGGACCACTAGGACTGCACTGGAGGCTGGATCCTCACACACTTGGTCTGATTGTTCAGGTGCATCATTCAAGACCTTTGAATCATGGTCATGAGACACAGCGTGTTCAGTTTCAGTGTAACCTGAAACTCCCTTTTCCTCCACGCCCACATTGAGTTGGTTCGATGAGGTTTCTGGAGGGGAAGGTGCTGGCTCCTCAGAGGTTGTCAAGCGAGCAACCACTGAAAAGAGGTCAGCTTTCTCCTTCTCCTCTTTGCGTACCTGTTCGATTACCTGTTTGATAGCGTCCACGTCGGCTTTGTTCAGGCTTGGCCGATTCAACTTACCACTGGCCTGGCCGTTCTTACCTGTTTCTTCCTTATCGGTTGGGCTTCGGTATTGTTCTTCGCTGGTGCGGTAATTTCGTGGCTCGCGTCTATTAAGTTTCCTATTGTTATAATTTCGGCTGCCTTTCCATTGGTCGAAGGAGCGCCGTGATCGATTAGAGTCAAAGAAGCGGCGGTTCGCTCCATCACCTGATTGATTCCTTTTGTCCAACCGGGACGTTTGAGGGTACCTCTGTCCTGAATCAAACGACGAGAGTTTTTGCCCTGTTGGAGATTGGTAAGGTTTAGAAGAGGGTGTGCTGGATTTGAGTGGTCCAACACCCGGAGCTCCTTCCAACTCCAGAACAGGGGATTGGGCAGAGACAGCTCAAATGTTTGTATCCAGGTGGGTCTGATCTGGCACCTTGTCTTTGTTTAGCAAAGCCCTTAGTAGCCAGCTCACGTAGTTGTCGACTAGTGAGGGTGTCTGGACACGCCATGACACCAAGGTGGTGGCTAGTTGTGGGATGAAGATTCTGTACAAACAGGGACTTAAAGTGGAGTTCTTCCTCCATTTCAGTTTCATTTTTGGACCCGAAGTAGGCTTCGTGAAGCCTCTCGTAGTACTCGTGGGGAGATTCTTGTCTCCCTTGTTTGACAGCTAAAGCGGCAGTTAGGCCTGTCTTTACTGTGTAGCTTTTATATTCATCTATCAGTGCTTGGCTGAGGGCTTCAAAGCTTCCTCTGATTTGGCGAGGTTGTCGCTCGATGAACTTGCTGACTTTTTGACTAGCGGTCCCTTTAATTAGATAGATTCTATCCTCAACTGTGGCATTAGGGAATGTCCTCAGATAGAACTCTATGTCATTTAGATACTCTCGGGCATCATTTTTACCGCCTGGTTTTGGTTCAAAACGGGTTATGTTTCGAGCGATTTTGTCCAGGTCTCTGTCAGAGGGACCTCGCGGATAGTGGTCCCTTGACGGCGGAGGAAGCTGAGGGGAGGAAGACCTTTTAACTTGGTCACTCGGGTCCCCGTCAGTCCGCAAGTGGGCAAAGGAGGCTACTGGTGTCGTAGCTCCTGGCCGAAAAGTGTCTGATCGGGCATTGAATTTGCGCTCTTTGGCTTCTTTTAATTCATGTAGCGCGCCCTGGTGGGGTTTTCTTTCATTGTCTCGAGCCCGCTCCCAGACTTGGAGCTTGGATTCTAGATCCTCAATTCGTTCAGTTGCTTTTTCGAGGTCACGGTTAGTGCTAGTACCATGTTCGGTTGTTACTTTGAGTTGATACTTATTTTGTCTAACTCCCCCTGTGGCTCTTAGGAGTTGTTGTAGCTCTGCGTTTTCGTTTCTGCAGTTTAGCTTGTTCCTCCTCTGTTTCAGTTAAGGATTTTCTTTGTTCAGTTAGGGCCTCTTTTGTTTCAGTTAAGGATTTCTTTGTTTCAGTTAGGGCCTCTTTTGTTTCAGTTAAGGATTTCTTTGTGTCCTCCATGCTGCTCCTTGAGGGATTTGTATTTAGTTTTTCTGGTTCCTATTTCAGCTAAAGCGTTCTTTAGCAATTGGTTGCTGCGTTTGTTCAGTTCGTACATTACAGTAAGCATACTCCCTAACATTTTCTCTTTGTCTTTCCCTTTCAGCTGTTCAGTTAGAGTTTGGCATGCTAATGCAGACATCATCCCTGGTAATTCACTGGGATCAGTCTTTTGGACTTCGTCTGCATAATTTGGTAGAAGGTCTGTGGTGAGGTCCGATATTGCTGCTTCTACATCACTTAAGAAATCCTCTGCGCTTGCAGCTTCAGGAGCCCCGGATGCCATTGTTTTAATTTAGGGTTCTTAACAACAGGCTGGAAGAAAATTTAACAATTAAAATGAAAAGTTTAAAAATTTT